CCACGGATGCCGCCGCCATCTATCAACAAATATCAGAGATAGCCTGGGTACAAAGAAACTGAGCAGAACATACCCAAAGCAAGTAAACGCAGACCTTCAGTTGAAGCTGGTTCCGACATATTGTCCTGTTAGCACGCAGAGTGAGATGCGAGCGAGAGGGAGGGAGAGTAAGGGAGGGAAAGAGAGTAGTAGCGCCGTGAACCCTCTGCCCGTACTCGCAATTGCTGAGTGCGGTACAAGGCGGTTCCAGCGTGGAGTGAGTTATTTCAAGAGCACTGACGCTGAGAATAACCAAGTTGCACGCTATAAATGGACAATATATCGAATTCATGCACTGCTTCATGGGCTATTTTGCTAGTTCGTTCCCAATTTGACAGACCGCCACAGCCTGCGGACAAGCACAGGGATACGAGCAACAAGAACGCATGTATGACAGTCCTGTGTATTCAACAATAAATATGAACGTAAAGGTAAGTAAGGGTTCAGACTCGCAAAGAGGAAGATAGTACATCTTCGACGTCGACTCCCAGGACAAAAACCACGGGTTGGTGTTCCCCGCCTGGATTGCGACCAGAGCGTGCAGCCGAGGATGGTCAGGGTGTGGTCGACGTCGTAGCGGTTCCGGTTGAGGTAGACGAAGGTGCCGGAGGCGTCGTCTTGGTTTACGTAGCGGGCGAAGGCGCGGAGACGTTCGGTGGATTCGATCTACTTGTACGACAGTGTGAGAGGAGAGGAGGGGAGGAGAGCGGGAAGGGAAGACGTACGACGGAGGAGCCCCATTGCTCTGTGTGGGTGGATTCGCTCAGTCAGCTTCGGTGCCACACCCACTACACAGCAAGAGAAGAACAACGCACCCTTATTCCCAGAAACATAGAATATAAGCCTAAACTTCGTCAACTGCGCCTTAAGCCACACAAACAATTTCTCGTCCACCGTGCAGCCCGTATTGCCTATCAACACCAGGTTCGGCGCTTTGACGGGCAGCTCGTATTGGTATGCGCCTTTGCGCGGGCGGTCGAGCTCGAGGTGGAGGTCGGACACGATTTGGACTTGCATCGTTGCTGAGTGTGATTTGCGTGGAATGTGGGTGATGCGATCGCGGTGGGGATATATGAGGGATTACGATTATTTAGGCGGTCTGGAGGATTATGAAGGAAAGAAAGAGATATGAGCTGGAAAGGATGCGCGTCCGGGATGGCATGGATCCGTCCTAGAATGGGGGCGCGCACGACACAAGACTCGGAATAGGGAGAACAGAAGCTCTACTTGTTACAAAAACAAACAGGCTCGAAACTCAGCACAGCGCACACGGCAGGCAAAGCGTCAAGTTTAGACGATGGTGTGTGTGTGTGTGTGCAATGCGCAAACTCCGTCGTGAGCTGTGTTCTTGGGCCGGCCCGGTGCCTGGGTGGGTCGAGACTCGGGAACGCAACTCGAACGTCGTTCTTGGCTGGACCGAGCTCATTTCGCGAGAGAGGTGTGGCCAGAGGTTCGGAATGGGTTGAGTTGTGGCGTAGGTAGCAGTGCGTACACTAAAACATGAAAGCGACACGAAAGCAAAAACAAAACAAAACATATTCGACACTTCACATCCCAAATTCAAACCACGGGTGCTCCAACACCTCCCTAATCTCCAATCGCTCCTCCGGCCGATACCTAACCATCCCCTCCAACAAATCTCCCAACAACTCCACCTCGTCCTCTTCCAACCTCGTCCCCGGCACCTCCATCATCCTCCCCTCATACCCATCCGACTCATCCATCGTCCCGATCTCCCTCAACCTCTCTCGAATCGAACTCGTACCCGGCACCACCTCCACCCCATCCCAACCTCTCCTCTCTTCGAGCGCATCCCACCACGGTTCAGGCATCTCACCAAACACCTCAACCCACTCGCGCGCCACATCCCCCGTACCTCCCAAAAACGCCTCGAATAACGGAAACCCCGCTCTACTCTCAAAAATCGCGCATCCGAGGGCCCAGATGTCTGTTCCGAGCCCTGTTCGACCGTCGAAATACGTTTCGGGTGCGAGGTAGTTTAGTGATGTGCCGGGTTGATAGTCTTTCGGAGGCACGCCTACGTAGGACTGCCCGAAATCGGACAGCACAACGCTTTCTTGTACATACATGAGATCGCGCATAAGAGAGTCTGGGATGGGAGCTACGAGTTCGGGTGGCACGTGGGGTCCGAGGGGTTCGTCAGGACGGCGAAGGCGAACGGGTTCGGTTTCGGGGGGTCCGAAGTAGGCGTTGATGTAGGTGTCGGACCAGGATTTGATTTGAGTGGAGAGGCGAAAGAGGATGTTGGATGTCGTGATATCTATACCCGCAGGTTCAGTTTTAAATACAGTGGAGACGGCACCGAGAGAAAAGGGAATAGAAGAGACAAAGAGCGCACCCCCATGTACAACCCCCACTCTATGCATCCCCCCAACCGCCCCCCCAACCTCCCTACTCACCCTCCTCGCCACCTCCCCCCTCAATCGTCTACTCCCGCGCACCCGGCCAGGGGTATCATACATAGCCTGCACGCTCGGTCCGAAGAAGGGAAAGACGAGGAAGGGGTGCAGGCCGTTGGGGGTGAGGTGGGTGAAGGCGGAGAGGGGGGTGAGGAGGTGTTTCGAGACAGAAGTGGCGTGGAGGAGGTTAGGGATGCGGACGTCGGGGAGGTCGTCGATCGTCTTCGGCCCAGCGAGTACGTCAGCCCTCATCGCTTTGATTGTAACCAACCTCCCTCCTTCTGAATCCCTCGCTAGCCAAACAGTAGAGGATCCGCCGAAACCGAGTTTATGCAGTATTTTATACCTATGCGGCCCGTTGTGCAATGCATCGTGGATGGAGAGGGGAGGTAGACCGCAGGGGTGATAGCATTCTGGGTTTTCGACGGAGTCGAGTTGGGAGGGGATGTAGCGGGGAAGGCGCGGAGGAGGGCGCGGAGGAGTGGTGGCGGTGGTTGTGGAAATGAGCCGCGGGAGGGTAGAGGACAGGGTCTTGGGGAGAGGGAATGTTCGCGTAGAGAGGAAAGCCCGAATAGACATGGTGAACTCCTACCAGATCGCAGAGGACAGAAGCTGCCACGTCTTTGCAAGCCACGCGAGCTCGATCCCAACTCCCGCAACGAAAGAGACCTGAGACACCGCTAGCCCAAGACGAGACAAGACAAGAAACGAAGAGATCCACAGAACGAAGCCACTCAATCAACCATTTGGATACCGGAAGCTCGAACCTGGCTCGAAATCAGGGCAAAAACAAAACAAGACGAACGGCTACGAATCAAGATCACGATGCAGGTTTGGACATTTGTTTGTGCTTGTTAGGATCAGAAGGTGTTGCGTCATCGTCGTGGCGAACAAAGGGTGGCACGGTTTTCTTTCCGTTGTCTTTCCACAGCACTGGCTTGAAGCTTCGACTTTGAAGGTCTATCGTCGACTCTCTTTGTTTCCCCTTTCTGTGCTTGTTTTTCACTCTCTTTTGGTACCGTAAATTGTCTCACCTGTCGTGGTAGGCCGCAGTGGAAAAGCTGGTGCGTTTTCTAGTCCGCGTTCTGTCGATTTTCTTTCGGCATCGTCTGCAGCTGCTTCAACTTCGACGGCTGACCGTCGACCGTCTTTGTATTTAATGATTGTGCTTGTTACAGGTGATTTGTAGCACTGCAAGTTGGCCGGCTTGTCGTGGCACGCCGCAGCGGAAAAAACTGGCGCGTTTTCTGACTCGCGTCCGGTTTTTTGTTTTCGACAGCACCAGCTTCAACCTTCAACTTCAAAGGCTCAGGACCGTCGACCGTCGACCGTATCTGGCTTTCCTTCTTTGTGCTTGTAGTTGATGTTCCATTATCAACCGACATGGTGTGGCAGGCTGCAACGAACAGGTCTCACTCTGCTCTACTTGGCTGGAATCGACTTCGCGTCGACTGGTCTCAGACTGGATTCATGTTCTGTTTATCGATCGTTCCTTCGGACACATGGTAGCTCGTTCGCCTGACGACGTCGTACCATACGGCGTATACAGACACTGAGCATCAATGAACTCTGGATGCGAACTTCGACCAGGCTCACGCTCGCTCTGACTCCGACTCACCTTGCCGCCCTTGTAGAAATCACAATCACACTCATACTGCTACACTCCTGCCACACTCTTACTTTCCGGCATAGGCGGTCGTAGGCAAGGCATTTGCTGGGTTTTCTGTCCGGATCTGCATTCTATACTCTTATTCCACCTCAAAACTATTTTCTCCACGCATCACGTCTTTTTTCTCTCCTCCGTTTCCTCCGGTAGGCCATCGTACTCCATCTCGTCTGGTCATACTTTTGTATGAGCCGTCGATCGGATGGCAGTGGTGGCGGCGACGGAGATGGAGAGGAGTTATAGTACCAGCGAGGTACGTCTTTGAATTTCTACGCACTGGTCACTCAACCGCGATTTCGGATTGGTCGCTGTCTTTTCCTTCAGTCGTCTTCCTTTTCCGTCTTTGCGTCGCACATCTTCGACGTTCGCTTTGTTATGTGCCGCCAAGACCTGTGAACGATCGTCACCGCTAATGCTGTAAGCTCTACTACTACTGCAGAAGGCTTCGATGTGCCATCATCAAGGTCGCTGGACAGATACGGAGGAACTGGAGGCAGTCCACAGAATAAACGGTATGGTTCGCTCTTTTGCTTCTGTTACTTAGTTTCACTGCTCTTGTTTCTTCTTCTGGTGGAACATTTATGTCGGTTCTTCATTGTTACAGTCTGCACCTTCGCATGCCCGATTGAATTCGCTCAAATTCAACCTTGTCATCCAAACACAGCTGCTTTGTGGTTGAACAATGTGTGATTGAGGTCTCAAGTCGGGTCACTAATTGGAATGTAGGTGTTTCTCTGTTCGCGCTGGTCCTGGATCAACCCCCTTTCGACTACTTCTCTTTCAAAATCTGCCATTTGATTGGATTTCACGTGAAGATACTGCAAGCCGTATGCAGCGAGTATACCCTGTAGTGACGAGAGACAACTCTACAAGGCTAGCTCGTTTCTGATTTGCTTGGCTACAACCATATATTGAACGTACAGGTCTCGTTATAGAATAAAGTCATCATGAACTACAAGCACAAATATTGTACATATCACATCAGTCAGCCCGTACACAGCTCATACGAATCAATAGTAGAGGAACAACTGCACATTTATACATCATGGTCAATCGGAACGAGTCTCTTCCTGATCTCTCTTACCTCCGCCTCGAGCCTTCCTGCGTCAGACAACCGACCCAGTTTGTGATATGTTGTAATGAGGTTGTCCATACTCTGTAGTGTGTAAGGATGCTCCTCTCCAATAACACGCTTCCTCGCCTCCATCACCGTCACCTCCAGCTTCTCCGCATCCGTCCACCGACCTTGATTCCGGTATGTTGCTGCAAGATTGCCCATGCTGGTCAGTGTGTGAGGATGCTCCTCGCCGAGCACCCGCTTCATCGCCTTCACCACCGTCACCTCCAGCTTCTCCGCATCCGTCCACCGACCTTGATTCCGGTATGTCCATGCAAGATTGCCCATGCTGATCAGTGTCTCAGGATGCTCCTCGCCGAGCACACGCTTCCTCGCAACCAGCACCGTCACCTCCAGCTTCTCCGCATCCGCCCACCGACCTCGATTCCGGTATATAGATGCGAGATTGCCCATGCTGATCAGTGTTTCAGGATGCTCCTCGCCAAACACCCGCTTCTGCGCCTCCACCACCGTCACCTCCAGCTTCTCTCCATCCGCCCACTGACCTTGATTCTGGTATATAGATGCAAGGTTGCCCATGCTGATCAGTGTTGAAGGATGCTCCTCGCTGAGCACGCGCTTCATCACCTCCACCACCGTCACCTGCAGCTTCTCTGCATCCGCCCACCGACCTTGATTCCAGTATGTTGATGCCAGATAGCCCATGCTGATCAGTGTTGAAGGATGCTCCTCGCCGAGCACCCGCTTCATCGCATCCAACACCGTCACCTCCAGCTTCTCCGCATCCGCCCATTGACCTTGATTCCGGTATGTTGATGCAAGGTTGCCCATGCTGATCAGTGTTTCAGGATGCTCCTCGCCCAGCACACGCTTCTCCACCTCCAGCACCGCCACGTCCAGCTTCTCTGCATCCGTCCACCGACCTTGATTCCGGTATGTTGATGCAAGGTTGCCCATACTTATCAGTGTTTCAAGATGCTCCTCGCCGAGCACACGCTTCTTTGCTTCTAGCACCGTCACCTCCAGCTTCTCCGCATCCGTCCACCGACTCTGATTCATGTATGTCGAGGCAAGGTTGCCCATGCTGATCAGTGTTTCAGGATGCTCCTCGCCGAGCACACGCTTTGTCGCCTCTACCACCGTCACGTCCAGCTTCTCCGCATCTTTCCACCGGCCTTGATTCGAGTATGTTGATGCAAGATGGCCCATGCTGATCAGTGTGTCAGGATGCTCCTCGCCGAGCACCCGCTTCTTCACCTCCAGCACCATTTTCTGCATAATTTCTGCATCCTTGTACTTTCCACTATCACGATATAGTCCCCCGAACCAGTCTGCTGTATATATGGCCAGATGACTATCGTGACACTGGACCTCTTGGACATGTAGAAGCAATCTGCGGAAATCGGCATTGTAATTTGGCATCCCATCATGGCCATAAGAATGTGATATTGATAGGCCCAAAATAAATGATGCATAGCTTGGAATGACTGGATTGATGTCATAATTTCGAGTCCAATCCTGTACCAGGAGATGAACGGATAGATTGCTACCTCCTGAATCACTCATGAGGGAGTATGAACACAGATCTTGTACTACCCGAAAAAAAGTACTGGCGTCCCAAGTGCTCTCATTGGTAGTCGTGAATGAACGAAGAAAGTCTGTGACCCAAGACACCACGACCTCCGAAGGCGGAATGTTGTCCTCAAATGTCAACAGCCGGAGCTTGGCAGCCGCATTTCTGAAGATGAATTCGGAAATGAACTCGTGATGCATGAAGGCGCAGACACGAAGGAAATCGGCCGCTAGTGGGTTTCGCAGCAGAAGACGCTCGAAGCTGATGTTCCACGTCGTATAGACTGTGCCATCATAGGAATCGAGCCGCTGTACTCTCTCTTTGTACTCCTCAAG